AAAAAATAAAAGGAGAAATCTTCCTCTTTCTCAATGCTTGCTAGTATAGGAACATGACACAATGTATATTTTATTTTGTTCGCAYACAAGGCATGGGGTCTCCTGGACGCGTGAGCCTGGTAGAATGACCAGGAAACCAAATTTACTTGAACATTTGTGAGTTGATGTGGCTCCTGGGGAAAAACAAATATCCTCCTCTTCTCCCAGCTGGAATTATTCTGCCTTCTGATTCTGTACTTAGGAAAAATTTTGGCTTATATTTGACCATATATGGTGTAAATTATAGTAGCTTCCACTTAGAGTTGTGAAGAGTAAATGAGATAATTTATATAAAATGCTGGAAAATGTCACCCATTGTCATTTCTACGATCCTATCATCATCATCATCACCATCATCATCACCATCATCATCACCGTCATGCCACAGCCCTGCCAACCTCCCCTCTGCTAGAACTGCAGACGTGCTGAAAATCCACAAAGCACACAGCAGAAGCCAGCCCTTTCTCCCTCTTGGTAGGATAAGGAGAGCTGCGTTAAAAAAGTACTTCATTGAGTCTGGTGCTGGGGATACATTAGAACGAATGGCAAGGATGTTCCCAATGGCACCCCCAAGAGCTCTGAGTGCTGATGGAGCAATACTAACTGAAGAGAAGAGAAAAGAAAGAAAAAACCACCTTCAGTCTCCAAGGTCACCAAGCATTAGAGGGAGGACACTTCCCAGGGACAGCTGCGTGGATTTCAGAGGGCGCAGGGTGGCGAGGGCTGCGGTCAGCGAGGGCTGCGGTCAGCACGGTTCTGCAGCTTTCCGCATGCCTCTGACTTGCTGGGATTTTCCAGCCTAATTTCATCTACATTTGAAGCCTGGAGTGTTCAAATTTTAAAATGTTCCCTGTAAACAGATCAACAGTATGTAGGGTACTAAGTAAAAGGAAGGCTGTCACCACTTTGCTGTGTAAGGTCCAAAAGGGAGAATTTCAATGAAGATTTAAAAGGTTTTGGAATGTTTTTGGTTTCTGCAAAGAACAATAGTCACTGGGGCCGTAATTTGGACAACTGGGAGATGAGTGCTTTAGAAATGCATCGAAACTCCTGAATCTCTCCTCAGAGGGCCTCAGGGGGCTCTGCTTGGTCTGCTTTTAACACTCAGACTTCTAAACCTCATATTTCTGTTCTTTCTCTAGCCACTGTCAATAGAAGGAAAAGAGAGGGACCTAGTTCATAGAAATGAAAACTGGAACTGCTATGGAACCCACCTAGGTGAGCTTCAACAAACGAATGCATAAAGAAAATGTGGATATTACTCAGCCATAAAGAAGAGTGAAATTATGGCATTTGCCARTAAATGGAWGGAACTGGAGACTAACACACTAAGTGAAATAAGCCAATCCCCCCAAACCAAAGGCTGAATGTTCTCTCTGAGGTATGAATGCTAACACAAAGTAAAGGGGCGGGTTTTAGAAGTTTARTGGATTAGACAAAAGGGAATGAAGGGAAGGGAGGAGAGATGGGAATAGGAAAGACAGTAGAATGAATCAGACATCGCTTTCCTGTGTTCATATACGAATATATGACCAGTGCAATTTCACATCATGTTCAACCACAAGAGTGGGATCTAATTAGAATGAATTATGCCCCATGCGTGTATAATATGTCAAAATACACTCTACTGTCATGTGTATCTAAAAAGAAAAAAATAAAAAGAAAAAAGAAAATAGGACCTGATAATCAGGAATCACAAAAATGTAGGGACCAATGGCCTGACCCTGCCTTCACCATTGTGTGGTGAAGCCCGTGCCAGTGCTTCTGAACAGAAGAGGAAGGGCGGTTGGGTTGAGATGTGTCCTCCTTAAAGGAGAAGTTGGAGTCCTAACCCCAGTACGTTGGAATGTGACCTTATTTGGAGAGAGCGTCTTCCTGGAGATAGTCMTGTTAAAATGGCAATATCAGGCTGGGCTCTAATCCAGAATGATGTGTTCCTTATCAACAGGGAAATCAGGACCCAGATGTACAACAAAGAACAGCATAACAGTATGGAAGGAGAGGTTGAGTGCTCTTTCTTCAAGTCAAGCCGTCCCAAGGAGAGGAGCAAACACAGGAGCTGGCAGAGAGGCAGGGGCAGAGTCCCCAGGTTGAAGAAGAAACCATCCTCAGACTTCCTACCTGCAGAACTGGGAGAGAGAGGATTTCTGTTGTGCAAGCCCTCCAGTCAGAGAGCRCCAGGGAACTGACTCAGGGGCACCTTAGTGACAGGCACCAGGAGACGAACCAGAGGGGCAGCAGAGGGTGGGGAAGGCAGCTGTGTCCAACACCTCGGTGTGATGTTCCTTTTGCCAAAGCTGCTCTGAGAATCTCACCCTGTCACCTACTGTGTGTACACTACTGGAGGCTGTAGAAATGACCTACTAGGAGCTGAGAATAAACAAGACAGCGACATGACAGATATCGTCAAAAGATAAAACTGCAGAAACACCCATTTTTCTAAATTATTTGGGAGTCATGCAGCTGCCAAGCCTCAATCCACAGAAAAAAATGATTTCCCAGGGAGGTACATCTATAGAAGGCAAACAGACAGTCTTTGGTTTATTTTTGCTGCTTCCTATCTCCYTTTTCCTTAACCTCCAGATAACCAAAAACTGTTTATTTCACTAGTTCATATAGGTTTTGCACTCTAGGGATGGGTAAGATTATTATTGTTCTCAAAATGCTTAAAATATAGCTGGGAAACTTCTGATGCCATAATCAAATACCTGAGGCTGAGTGACTTATAAACTAAAGGTTTTTTTTTTTGGCTCATAATTCTCATGATTGGAAGGGCCAAACACCAAGACACTGGCATGTTGGTAAAATCACAACAAGGTAGAGAAGCAGAAAGGGAACTGGTTGTGTGCAGAAAGGAGAGAGGAAGCCAGGTGAGACAGGAAGCCAGGAACCTGGGTGAGGCTGGGCTTGCTCTTTTAAGGAACCTGCCTTCAGGAACGTYTGCACTCTTCCTGGACCTGATCTATTCCCTGGAGACAGCATGAATCTGTTGGGGGGGGGTGTCCCCTGGGAACTAACTGCTCCCCCTCCCTCCAGGCCCATCTCCTAGAGCTCCCACCACCTCAGCAGCACCACCTAGGGGACCTCTGGGGCACAAGCCACACCTAAGCCATTCCAAGGTGGGGTGACCCCCCAGGGGATTTAGTGACATCCCAGGAGTCACACAGGGGCTCTGTGCTAAAAAGAGGTGGACAGCAGGGCAGACAAGGATCTCAGCCAAAMGCTGCCTCTATTGGCCCTCTGTGCTGGCCGTGTCCTCTCTGCAGTGTCGGATGGCCGAGGTGACAGGAGTACTCTGGCTGCATTCATGACTTCAGTGTCAGTGTTTCTCAAGTTTCATTATTGAGCGCCATGAATTCTGGAAGTTTTTATAGCTATCCTTTATCAGGTTCATAAAGTTTCTTTCTATTCTTAGTTTTCTCAGAGATTTCTTCTATGAAAATGAATATAGTTTAATTTTATCAAATGTCTAATTAAAAAACCTACTTAAGATGTTTTTTCTCCTTTAATCCTTAATAGGCTTAGTTATATGAATAGACTGAATGATATTTAATCATTCATGCAATCCTAGGAGAATCCCAATGGATCGTAACTTTTTTTTCAATGTGATGAGTGGCAAGCAGTATTTTCCAAAGGGGGCTTCAATAAGATCTCTTCCAAAGCACGACTTCCTACTTCTTCCGCTGGGTTGGCAGTTGGGTTGATGTTCCCTCCCAGAGATTCTAAATGAACCACAGCTGATCTCCCAAGGTCAGATTGTAAGGGAGAGACTGCTTCTGCTCTCGGTGCCCAACCAACCAGGAGAGGAAGCCCAAACCCCACTGCAACACCTGCCTGGAGGGGAACTGTGGGTCCAGCCCATGGTCCAACCGTGCTACCAGGACATTCAGTATCAATGTGGACATGTGTGAAGGAAGGATCCTGAAGGCACATCCTCCAGCCCACAGTGAAGTGACTCAGCTAAAGTAACAAGTAGAGGTTTGCTGTGAACGCCATACTTAGCCCACATCACAGGCTTGTGAGTAAAATAAAAATGAATTTGTTTTAACACTAAGATTTGGAGATATTTGTTATGCAGCAATACATAGCTGATACATGATAATTGATTCCACTCAGTAAGATTTTATTTAAGAGTTTTGCATCTACCTTCATAAGGAAGGTTTTATTTTCTTGTCCTTGAAGTCTATTTTCACCTCAAAACCTTACTACCCTTTAAAAATGAGCTTGGTGGTGATTCTTCTTTTTCTAGTATGAAAATATCTGAGTAAATTTGAAGTTATTTGTTCTTTATTTTTTTTTTTAAACCTGTGTAAGAAACTACCAGGTRCCAGATTTTATGCTTTTTCTTTATTTTCCACTGACAAGTTTATGGAAAGGTTGGGATCTATTCTAATTTTCTAAGTTTATTTTCTTTCAGTAAACTTGGGACTTTCTTAGAAAATAGTCCACATCCTGTAATCTTCCAAAGTTAGGAACTATCAGGTTTCACCGTAACTACATTATGTCCTTCACTCATGGATACAGTTTTTCTTTTCTCTCTCCTTTCTCCAGGAGGCTTGCCAAAAGCATGTCTCTTTGTTTCGTCTTTTGGACAGTCACTTTGCTTTACTGTTCATCTTTCTAGCTTCTAACGCAACTAGAAAGAGAACTAATGGAATGGTTTTCATTTCCATTAGTATCTATCTTTTCCTTTTCAGAGCTTTCCATAGATATCTGGTATGTATGACTTCTCTTTCTTTAAAATCAGTCTTTGACGTGAAGCCTACGTTAGTATTTTCAGGTACCCTCCAGCTTTGCAAACCCCAGCGCTCAGCGGCACTCAGGACCCATACAGAGCAGTGCAGCTCACTTGGCAGCTTTGCAGTCTAGAGTCACCGCCCAGTTGAGGCCCCGCCCCCAGGCCCCGCCCCCTCTCCCTTCCTCCAGCCCCAGAGGAAACGGAAGTGGTGGCTGCCCGGGCGGAAGCAGGAAGTGGGGGAGCCGCGCCGCGCACACCGCGGAGCGGGCGGCGGCTGCGGCGGCGCGGTCCGGCCGGGCCGATGGCGGAGAAGTTCGACCACCTGGAGGAGCACCTGGAGAAGTTCGTGGAGAACATTCGGCAGCTCGGCATCATCGTCAGCGACTTCCAGCCCAGCAGCCAGGCCGGGCTCCACCAGAAGCTGTGAGTGGCGGGCGGCGAGGCCGCGGGCCGGCGGGGGCGGGTCCGGCTCTACCCCCGGGCGCCCCCGACCGCGCTGCGCTGGCTCTGCCCCGCGGGGGGCTGCTGGCCTCGGGGCGCGGGGCGGGCGGCGCCGCCGTCGGGCAGGGGCGGGCCCCTGTCCCTCCGGCGGGGCCGTCCGCACGGTTGGTGGACGGTGGTTTCTCGGGCGAGGCTGGTTTTCTCCCCGACCCCCGCGTCGGCGGGTTCTTGTGCAGTGGGAAGCCCSGGAGTGTCCGAGGGTGTTTGACTCCTGAGGGGTCTCAGGGGGCCTGCTCCACGTGGGAGCCTGCAGATGCGGGAAGCGGCCCGCGGCGGGGTGGGTGGTGCCTAGGCCCTCACCTGCGTTAAACTAACGCCCCGTTTTTACCTACCCCCAGGAATTTCATTGTTACCGGCCTACAGGACATAGATAAGTGCAGGCAGCAGCTTCACGACATTACTGTACCTTTAGAAGTTTTTGAGTAAGTATCATTCCTCGTGTTAATGTTGGGTAGGAATCTTGTTGAGTTGTGACACTGAGGACTTCAGCTTGCAGCAGTTGAGTGCATGGGCATTTGCTGGTGAAAGAGCCGACAAAATTACCTGTCCTAGAGCTTGATAGACTAATGGGATTTAGAAATTAAAAAAAAAAAAAGTTGTTGAGAAAAATGCTACACAAAAATAAAAGGTTACTGAATATGTGAAAGGCATTGTAGACTTCCAAGCCCTCTGCTAAAAAGTTTAGGCTAAAGAACAACCACATAACTTAATGTCTTATGTGGGCTACATCATGAATCAGGAGGAAAAAAATTACAGCTAGAAATTGAGTGAAAAATATTGTGATCTGGTTTTCCTAAATGGCCTGTGCTGTGCTGGTTCTGGGAGATGATGATACCTCCTATGTTGGGAAGAAGGTAAAGGTCTCAGTCCAGGTGCTGTGGGAAAGGTATTCACTGGTTGCTGCTGGAGATGAGCACCTGTCACAGGGGTGGCTTGGAGGATGCCTTCAGTACATAAATTGCTTAGGATTTTAATTCAGGTTTTATCACATTGGCTTGTCACAGCTCTAATTTTATCCTCACAAGAACTGATAAGTAACTGTAATAGGTTGTGTAGCTAGTAAAGGTCTCAGTTAAGACTAAATCCCAGGCCTGCGCCTCCACACTAGTATCATTTTCTCTATGCAGTGTAACTTTTCCCTCCCTGTGCTGCTTTGGAATAAGAATTCTTGTACTTTTTGTAGCAAAACTTACATTTGATAACCTTGAACAATAAAGGGAACATTATGGTTGTTTTATATCCAGAAAGGTCGGAGTTAAAAGTTTTAGTTAGAATGTCACTCAGTAGCTGCCTACACAGWCAGGACATAGAGGCTGAGTGTTGTGGCCTCCCTCCCATCCTTTAGCTGCCAACCAGGTGCCACGTGCAGTCTACCTGTCCTCAGCACCACTGAGGCCTATGTCTTCAGGTGGATTGAAGGGCTGGTGCATGGTGCTGCTCTGGACTCCTGGGCAGCGGCTTCCTGCTTGTGAACTCTGCTAACTGAAGCATCCTTCTCAGTGTTGCTCTGGCCCTGAGTGCTTGGGACGGGTATAGTGACAGATGCCAGTGATGACTGGTCTTCTGATGAAAGGAGGGTAGAGGAGACAAGATTACTTAAGGGCAGAGGGCCTGAAGAGATTGATCTGGGGTCTCAGGAAGAGGATGGACAGCCTGTGGCTCTCAGTAGCAGATGGTGGAAGTTGAGGTGCTCACAGTGTAGGAGGAGTTCAGGCCCAAGGAGTGTTCTTTAGGACACACRGGGACGGATCGTAGCAAAAGGTAGAATAACCTTTCCTACACGGAAAGTTGAGATTGTGTGTTGGCAGATGTTTTAGTCAGCTTTTCACTGCTGTGGCCAAGGACTTGACARGAACAATTTTAGAGGAGGAAAAGTGTATTTGGGGTTCACAATTTTAGAGATCTTAGTTCACAGATGGCAGATTCCATAGCTGTGGGCCCAGGGGGAGGCAAAACATCGGGGTRGAAGGACATGGAGGAAGAAAGTAGCTCAGGACATGATACCAGGAAGCAGAGAGAGACTAAGCTTGGCTCCCTGTAACAAAATATATACCCCAGAGGAATGTCAGGTGACCCACTTCCCCAGCCACACCCTGCCTCCCTAGTCACTGCAGTTAATCCACTCAAGTGGATTGATGCATGGGTTAGGTTAAGGCTCATAATCCAGTTAGTTAATTAATTTGTAAACTCCTTGTGTTGTCTCACATGTGAGCTTTTGGGGGACACCTCATGTTTAACCCAAAATAGCAGAAGTGGGATTCATCTCTTGGGTCTTAGAACAGCCCAGCCTGAGTAGGGCCTTGCTGTTGATGTGATGGCTGTTTATTTAGGACATGTGGAATGATCAGCCTTGTTCTGTGGAATCCTGTCAAGGTTTCCTGTTTTTTTTTTTTTTTTCCTTGAGAAATGGATGGATATTAACTGTAATTCTAAATGAATTATCCTTCTTTCATTACATCTTTTCAAAAACATCACAGTAAAATGAGGTTTCCAGAACTTGTCATTTCTGTTTTGCCATTTGAGATAAAATTTTTAAAAAGGGCTGTGAGTGGAGCGAAACAGAATCCCTTGGATTCAATCCCAAAGAAAGAAGAAAGAGCCTTTCTTACCTCAGGCTGTTGTGGAATCAAAAAGCTAATAGCATGAAAGTATTTTGAATRATACAAATGCTAAACAGATGTGAAGTGGGAATGGCTTATGCAGCTTTCCTGTGTTTATAAAGAGCATTGCTTGATTTCATAAGCTGTTACAAGAAATAATATGAGATGCTATGGAAATGAGAAAATCTTAATTCACCTGCTTCCTGGACTCAGTTTTGTCTAAGTAGAGCCATAGGAAGACATGCGTAAAATATGTAGTGAACTTTTTTTTGCCATAGTCCCCAGAAAACTGAGAGTAGGTGTCACCATCTGAATGCTAACTGAGATATTCCATGTTTCCAGATACATAGATCAAGGTCGAAACCCCCAACTCTACACCAAAGAGTGYCTGGAGAGGGCTTTGGCCAAAAATGAGCAAGTTAAAGGCAAGATTGACACAATGAAGGTAAGACTGGCATGAAGAGCAGAAGATGCCAAGGCATACTTTGGAAAGAGATGTGTAGCAAGTCTGGCTGGTAGGCTTGTCCTTTTCCGTACTCGGTAGAACAGCAACTGTTCGTGGCATTACCGTTAAGATGCTGTGATAGGTAGTTAAGTTAAATATCAGTAAGCTGTGTGGCAGCAACAAAATTTAAAAAACCAAATTGTAGTCTGCATTTAAGAAAGAACAGGTTAGTTTGTTCAGTGTGCCAGGTTTGCACTTGGGTGGTAAGGATGCTTTCTGTTGTTTTTCCGTTTGGATCCTAGCTGTTGATACATTTCTTGAGTTTATGATTCTGTGTTTCAGAGGGCTCTTGAATATTTTCTTACCTTTCTCGTGTGATTGTCTCCAGCTCCCAACCTCCAAACCCTTCTTACTGTTCCTTATGTTTCTGTGGAGAACTTAGATTTTATTTGCCTTGATGGCATCTGGAGACCACTGCATCTTGAGCATGAAATATAGCTCAGTTGGTGTTGAAGTCTGCGTTGGGATTGCAGTGGCCTCCTGACCTTAGCCCCCAGTGCCCTGCCTGGTCTGCATGCTGGCCCCCACGCTGCTTTCCCCTGTCCTCTTTCCTCCAGCTGCTTCCTTGGCTGAAACTCTCTGGAGCTCTTTTTGCACAAGGGACTCTCCTGGCCTCGGCTCATTTCATCTTCTGTGAGAGGCTTTTCTCTAAAATTTCTTACCTGATAGTGCTGTCGAGTTTGCATTTTATTTCTCCTGTTTTCCTTCTGCCTGCTGGTTAARCTCCAGGACTGTAGGACATGTATGTTCTCTTTCTGGTGTTGCCCAGTGCCCTCCTGGTGCCAGCCTGGCTCACCTGGTGTCACCTGGTTGTGTCTGATGTGTGTAGGCTGGTGGRTCAGAGGGGCTTCTTGTGCCCATGTGGCTCTGGCTGGGTGGAAGGAGTGAGGGGAAGGGCTCTGTCAGGAGACTTGTGTCAGCACCTCTGCCTGGTTGTCAAGCTTCCCAGGGCCTGGTCCAGGCATCCCACAGGTGGGAAATGGCCCTGGAGGCAGATGTTAGTTTGGAGCCCACAGCTTCCTCCTCCTTGTCCTTTTGGGATTGGGGAGCTATTGAACTTTGTGCTTCCTTCCAGATATGGTTCAGCTTTCTATCAGTAGCAAGTTGTGATGGCTCGATGGTGCTATTCCCCTGATCAAGGGTGAATGAGTTTTACCAACTATCAGAAGTCACCTTTGTGAGCACAGTGGCTGGTCCACAGGCTCCGTGCTCCCAGCCCCATTGGGCACTTGTTAAACTCTGCCTCTGGGCCCTGAAGGACATGCTGATGTCAGTGACACACGAGGCCGAATAGTTTACCCCTCCCTTGCAACTCTGCTCATTGTCAGTTCTCAGATCTGTGACAGTCTCAGGTCACAGTTCTGTGGCTTTTACTTCTCCAGTGGAATATGTATTTAAACTTAAAATAAGTTGTATTTTAAAATAGTTTAGCTCTTCATTTCAACACTACGATAAGTATTGTACTTGGATGGTACGGATGCTTTCTGTTGTTTTTCTGTTTGGATCCCAGCTGTTGATATACTTCCTGAGTTTATGATTCTGTGCTTCAGAGGATTCTTAATAAGTATTCTATGTTGAAATGGCAAATGTGTTCATGCCCCTTTTTGGTATAGCTCCTAAGAATAAAGGTCTTGAGATGCTGGCAGATTTAATTGCTTTTAGTTTGGGGTTTAAAAGCAAATGTTACGCTGATAACATAGGCTTAGAAAGCCGTGGGGCTTGCATAGATAATGTATTTTCTGGTGCTCTGAAAGCTTCTCTTGGAGCTGTTTGCACACAGTGAGTTTGATGTGATTCTAGTAAGTAATTGCTTAATTAAATATTATTTTAAATCCCTGTTACCTGTGCTGTCTGCAGAGGTCATTTCCGCCTGTGTGTCTGGCTCCTGCCGAGAGGTGCTTTTTCCTTTCTTTGGGCATGAAATGAGGAGTTGTTTTAAAAGGGACCGTTACCTTTTCAGGGAGGTGTAAGTGTGCCTTCAGCATGGCTGCAGACACTCTTGTGGTGGGCTCTCCAGGTATTGTGTTCGTGGAAGGTGAGCAGACGTGCAGGGACCACCCACTTGAATGGAGGAAGCCCTGTTCCCACTCTCCTGGGGACCCAGTTGAATTTGAGGGATCATGGGGGATCGTGTGACCTTTAACTTGGATGATAGGGCAGATTTTTTGACAGTATTTTTCTTCATAGAAATTTAAAAGCCTGCTGATTCAAGAACTTTCTAAAGTGTTTCCAGAAGATATGGCTAAGTACCGAAGCATCCGGGGTGAGGATCACCCGCCTTCCTAAGCCTGCGAAGACCCCAAGTCCTTGACGGACCAGGACCAAGCCAGCAGGAGGCCATGATTGTCCGCACTGACGGTGCCTTCCTGCCAGTGTGGACTGGCCCTGGACCTGTCCCTACCCCTGATGTCCCTGTCGGTAGACCTCGTGGGATTCTGGGGCTGGACGAGAAGTGGAGCGGAGCCCCTCTGTCTCTGTAGCCCTTGACTGGTGGTCCCACATCCTCAGAGTGATTCCTTTCATTCTCTCAGTGGGCAAAGGGCCCAGGGTGAATCCTGGAAATGTTAAGTGTGATCAGTAAATTAAAAGTTCAAAAAATTCTACTTGCGATTTTCCTTTTTATGGACTCTTTTCTGTTTCATTTTATTACGGTATCAAAAAGCTAAAAAAATGATTTTATATTTTACACCTTCAAATGTAAATAGTGTGTAACTGTTTTCATGGATTTCAGTTAGACAAATGCATAGAATAAAGTTGAGTAGTTAGCTCATTTCATGTAGTTATTTTATAGCTTTGTGCAAGGTAGAATGGCATATCTTATAAATCGTCAATTATTACTCCTCTAAACTATTAGTAATATTCATAAAACAATCTGTTATTTAGGCAGAAAAAGCTAATGTGAAATACAAAATTCTGTTTTTTTTATTTTCTACAATCATATCTTGACACTAAAGAGTACAGATTTATTGACACTGTGGGGAATGCCCTGCAGGGCCCTGCAGTGCGGCTTCCAGTGTGCTCAGGGATCACAGGGTTTTGCTGGACTGCAGCTTCTGATTTTGTTGGACTGGGCCTTGAGAACTTCGGCCTTACTGTGGTGCATCTCCAGCTGACCAGACTGGCTTGTTACAAGGGCAGAATTCCATTTCAGACCTGTCAAGTGACAGGCTCTRGGATGGAGCTGAGAATCTGCATGATTGATTTGCCTCCTAGTGATTCTGGGTCTGCTTAGATTGAAGGGTGTTGTAACAGCACAAGCTAGGTAGTTTAAACATGAGAAACTAATTTTCTCAGTTCTGGAGTCTGAAAATCCAAAGTAACCTCAAAGAGGAATAGGCAGATTCTTTTAGTCAGCTTTGTGTTGCTGTGACCAAAAGACCTACCAAGATCAACTTAGAGGAAAAGTTTATTTTGGCTCATGGTTTCAGAGGTTTAGCCAGCTCTAGCTCTGGGCCTGRGGTGACAGTAGAACATCATTTTGGAAGGATGTGGCAGAGGGAAGTTGCAGCCAGGAAGCAGACATCTCCAGGGATAAAATATAAACCCCAAAGGCACACTCCTAGTGACACACTTCCTCCAACAACACCCTGCCTACCTGTGGTTACCGCCCAGTTAATCCATATTGGTGGGTCATTCCACTGATTAGGTCACAGCTCTGATCATTTTGCCCCTGAACGTTCCTGCGTTGTCTTGTAAGTGATGAGCTTTGGGGACACCTCTTATCTAAACCACAACAGGTTATTCTTTTTCTTTTTTTTTTTTTTTTTACATTGTTTGTAATAGGAAGAAAAATCAATGTTAACAGTGACTTAGATAAATGTGGCTCATCATTTGATGGAGTGCTCTGCTTTGATTAGAAGGAATGAGGAAARTATGCAGATACAGAGAGATCTCCAAGAAACAGCTCAAAACCGTTTGTARAAACATTGAGTAGGGGTCTGCTCTGCTTGATCTGCACTCTGATGAGAGGTTCTCCAAGGCCTCCTGCCTGCTGGAGGCAGGACCACTGAGGAGCCTCCTCCCCTTGCCACCTAGAGCACTCCATGCACCTTCAGGGTGGTCCTCCCTATYCCTAGGTGCTCATCCATCTCTTTACTCCAGTTAAGTCTTGGACCAAGGTACTGGGTTCACTGCAGGCCACACAAGCCTCCCAAGAGAGCCCTACTCACCCACCACCCAACTCCTGTTTCTCCACAGGACTTCTGCAGGTGCCTCAGACTCCCCCAAAATGGACTGAAGCCACCTCACCTCCTCACGTGCCCAGGAAATGGCAGCACCTTCCGTCCCCTTTCATTGTCTTCGCCTCCCTCTGTCCCCCCCACCTGCCCTTGAAGCAAAGCCAGTCTCCTGGATTAGGTCTACTGACTGTCCTGTGTTGCACCCACTAGTCTTCATCCTCCAGGTGCACCTRTGTGTGCCTTCGCCCACCTGGCCTCCTGCCCTACTCATCTGCTCTCCTTCAGCTCACCCCATGTCTAGGCTTTCACTGTCCGGGTCAAGTTAGAGCAGCACACAGCCAAGTGGGAGGAGCAACAGTGGTTTCATCTTCCCTCACTCCTCACTGAAGGTTCACCTCTCCCTACTTCCCAACTTCCTTCACGATACTCATGTTGGTCATGCCCTGGACTCATCTGATTGTGGTTGGCAGAATAGGGGCCCCTGGGGCGTCCACATTCTCACCCCAGGACCTGTGGACAGGTTGCCTTACATGGCCAAAGGCCAGGTGTTGCACATGGGGTTTAGATACGGCTCTTGAGAGGGAGATTTTGTGGGCCATGCAGGTGGGCCCAGAGCAGCCACCAGAGCCATTGCTACCAGAGGGAAGCAAGAGCAGGAAGAGGAGTTTGTGTTGAAGGAGGCAGAGGTGGGAGAGGACGTGGGTGGAAGAAGATGCTGGACTTCAGGGTTTGAAGGAGATCAAGGGGCTGTAGGCTGAGGAAGGTGTACAGGTGGCCTCTAGGAGGTAGAAGGGCAAGGAGAACTCTCCCTGGGGCTGCAGCCACCGGCACCTTGGTTTTAGGACTTGTGACCTCCAGAGCWCCAAGGTGATAACATTCTGGTGCTTGGTGTGTTGCCGTCTGTACAGCAGCACTAAGAAATGAGCACCTGTCCTACGTGAGCAGATGAGGTCAGGAGATGGAGGAGCCAACGTGCTGTGCTCGTTGAACTCTGATGTGATGACATTTACTAGTTACACTTGTCCTTCATCACTGCCCTGCTTAACCTAAGATCATCAAAACACTTAATAGGAACAAAGTCACCTTCCTGCAAAACACTTTGCAGAGAGGAAATATTGACAAATACATTAACAGACTATCCAAAAACCTGATTTTTGTCCTGACTTGTGATAATTTTCATGGCGCTCCCCTCTGGTCACAAAGAAGAGATTGTTCTGAAGAGGAGCCCTGTAAGGGGAGCAGCCAGGAGTTCATGCAGTCCCCAGGATCCTCGCGGCTGCCTGTGTGTTTCCCGGGCTGCTGTGGCAAACCATGAACCTGGGGCCTGACGACAGCACATTTCTGGAGGCCGTACTTGTGACAGGTGTGGCTGGGGCTGTGCTTCCTCTGTGGTCTCCAGGGGAGGTTGCTTCCTTGCTCCTGTGGTCCCGTGGCTCTGGGTGTTCCTGGGCCGTGGCTGTATTGCTCCACTCATCCCTTATAAGCACAATTGTCATTAGACTCGGTATAATCCAGGATGACCTCATCTCTAGATTTCAGCTCCATCACATCTACCAAGACCCTCCTAAATATGGTCACTTTCACAGATTCCAGGTGAACGCCTTCTGAGGGGGCCACCCCAACCCCTGCACTGCCCTCTCAGGCACACCTGACCATGGAGCACCTGGCTCTGCTAGCTGAGGGGTGAGTCCAGTCTTYTGGGGCTGCCCGTCTCTTCTCCTGGACTCACTGGGCTCTGCACTGCCCACTGCAGTGTCTGTGCTGGTCTTCTCAGTAGAGGTGGCTCACGGGTGGGGGACCAAGGACTGGCAAAACCGCTGAGGTACCGTGTGTCCACGCAGGCACAGAAGCAGTGCTGGTCTTCTGGCTTGCGGAAGGAGTACTGTGGGAGACAGACAGTCACAGGGCTGAGAGAACAGGATCCTTGCAGACGGCCCTGACACACACACGCGTCAGTGAGAAGCCTCATCATGGCAGATTTGCTGAGGGTGCGACAGGCTGGGTTGCGCGGGGTAATGAGGAACAGCCGGCTTGGGCAGCTGGCACCCCTGGTCCAGCATGGGAGCCTCTGGTCAGGCACACAGCATTAGCAGTCTCCCTGGCAGAGCTGAGAGATGCTCATTCCTGTCCTGCCAGGGAGATGCTGCCTGKGAAGATTCGAACCTCCTCCTTGAGTACTGAGCCGACCGTGTGGATGCTGGGGCTTTTCTCTKGAGCTGTATGCACAGGCTCTCTGCAAAAGATGCTTGTCATTTATTCAAGAATGGCTTAAAGCACACACAGTGGGTTATTTCCTTTCAGTAAGCGTGTGGCAAACACACAGAGATGGGGTGCATACGTGGCAATTAACTGGAACCTGTGTGAACAGGATGGCGGTCCCAGTCCCAGGGCCATCTTCCGATGCAGTGATTGAGGTGGCTCGGCCCCTGTGCTTCTGAAGCTGCTGCCCGTGTACTGGCAGATGGTCATTCCTCAGGAGAGGTGGCACCTTCCAAGGTCTCTACACACCAGCTCACAGGCAGACTAAATGGCGTGACAATTCAGTCACCAGGTCAGCTCCTAACGCAGGTGTTTGGCAGACTGGACACTATTATTTTGAATGAACATGATAGCAATGCTTCGGTTTCAACAGGCAGAGACGTGGGCTTCCAGGGTGCTGTGTGGCTGGCTGGCTGGTGAGGGCCGGCTTCCAGCAGCCTCTGTGCTCCAGGGCCCTGCTCTGTCCCTTCCCCCCGGCTTTCCTGTCTGCTGTCCAGACGAGTTGGTTACCTGCTCAGCCACACACCTGGCTACAGCACACACACTCAAGAGCAGGAACTGGGACCTGCAAACACAGTTGCCATGAAGTCAGTTTGGTTTGGGGTCCTCGAGCTGACCCATCTGGGAGACTTCTACTGCCTGGGCTGGGGGTGGGTGCAGCTTGGGACCCAGCTCCTCCACCCTACTCGGGAGCTTTCGRAGGCCAGGCTGCCTGGGCTGCATCTCTGTGGTTGCCCTGAGGATCCAGTGTTYGGCCCCATTGCTTGGCCTGTGAGGCAGATGCTTCCAGAGCACCACCACGGAAGGTAGTGCTGGCCGTGTCCCGAGGAGAGACCTCCTGGTGTCCCCCAGAGCCTCTGTGCAGGGCAGCAGGGCAGGCAGGACTACGTGGGTGTTGCCAGACAGGGAAGGGGCGTTCCCAGGGTCACCTCCCAGCAGGCAAGCGGAGGGCCAGAGTTCGCAGGTCTTTGTCCGGGTGCCTCACATGAGGGGACCTACCACCCACCCTACAGGGAGGGAGGTGTGGGGGCAGGACACAGCAATGGTGAGACCAGAGCAGGTGGCCCGGTGTGGGGGCACTGGGGGTGGCCATGTGTGTGCCTGCTCCAGTGAGCTGGCACTGCCGTCCATTCCAAGTGCTCCGAGCTCTGCTTACCCTGAAGTTG